GAGGGAAGGAGTCGAATCGGTCCTTTGAGTCAACACCGGCACCGGACTCCAACAGAGGCTAAACCCCTCTCCCCATCCAGACTGCCCTCCCTACAGTTTCAGTCCGCCCCTGCTTTGCACCAGCCCCTCCCCTCTAAGACCGTATTTGGGTAATCCCACCCACCTATCCTATTCTGCTCCTCGGGGGCGGGTCCAGCCCTCGCTGTAGCCTTGTACATAATATGTATCTTTATGATGATGATTATTATTGTAGTTGACCTCGGCAACAGCGGAAAATTCCTAGTGGACTCTTTCCAGCGACATTTTCTTTTCTTGTCACACAAAGACAAAATATTCGTCGTAAATATATAAATCTTTCTCTGAAGGACTAAAAATGGAGGACAAAGGATGACGTGAAAGACAACTCGGAGTCTCAAATCAAATTGCATTATTGTCCATGACACAGGAAGAGAACAAACATTAAATAAATGAGGTCCATGAATTAAAAAAGAAATCTGACAGGATGTATTACATCACTTGTGACATCACATGATACATGGCATATGACATCACACATTACATCACACATTACACATCACCTATGACATCACATGATACATCACCTATGACATCACTCATTACATCACATGATACAGCGCATGGCATATGACATCACACATTACATCACATGATACATGGCATACGACATCACACATTACATCACATGATACATCACTTATGTCATCACTCATGACATCACTTATCATATGTGATGCCATATGTGATGTGACATGTAATATCATATGCGATGTAATGTGTGATGTCATATTACATGTCACATGAACTCACACATTACATCACTTATGACATCACATATGACATCGCATGTCACATCACATATGACGTCACATGTCATATCACTTATGACATCACATGTCACATCACACGACACATCACACATGACATCACATTCCCTTGTAGAAAGGTTTGTTCTGTAAAAGGGGGGTGACGAGCCCCGAGCCCTCAGCCCTGATCCAAGCAGAGGGCGGGCACCTGGGAGGAGTTATGCAAATCTAACATTCTTTTGATGAGTGGGCGTGGCTAAGCAGGCATGCCAACGCCCACTGTGATGGTGAGCCTCCGTGATTGGAAGCGCTGAGATGCGATGGATGAAAAGGGGCGGGCACAGTCAGGCTGGGGAGGAAAGTGCTAGGGGCGGGGCCAGGCTGGGGAGGAAAGTGCTGTACGATGATGGCCGTCCTCCAGCCAGGAAAAGGAGGCGGGGCTCTATCTGAACTGCAGCTTCATTGTGAGAAGCTCCCAGCGTGCGGTGACATCAGAGTGAGAGGAGCCGGTACAACCGTGCGAGACTGAAGGCGGGCACTCGGTCATGGACAGTGTCAGGAGAGAGGAGGGGACCCGGCAGCATACCTTATCCCGCCGGGTGTATGCCCCCTCCTCTCTCTGCCGGAGTCCACCACCAAGATGGCCGCCGGCAGGCATCAATCAGTTGGTGACAACAAGGCAGGGTTGTCGGGACACCCATAAGTATTTTTTTTTTTGGGGGTGGGAGGGGCATCTTCTTTTGGGAAGGCCGCAGTTCAGCTTTAAGTCCTCTTATATTGTGCCATCCAGACACTTCAGCTTGAGTGTCGTGGTCACCTAAAGTCTCGGGTGCCCTGATCAGCGTCCGATCTCCCAGCTCCCGAGTGCGCAGAACACTGTCAAATGAGAGAGCCGCGCAGGTAAGAGGAATGTAAACAGCTAGGGGGGCGCTGTGATTCGATGGTGTTGTGCACACTCTGAGTTCGGGAGACAGTATGCTGGCCAGGCATTGACGGGGCAGCAACCGCCAGACATCAAGTGACTGGATGCCCCCCCCCAAAAAAAAGTTAAAGGTATAGATCACTTCTGCTAAAACCATGACACTAAAGATGGGGCGTCCGGCCACAGGGAAAGGGACAGACAAAGGGGCGGGGCATATCTTAAAGGAAACCTCCAGTGAAGTCCAGGAACGCGTGGAAGCTTTCGCCTCAACATAACAACCAGACCAGGTCGCATTTCCAATAGAAGGTCATCAAATGGCGCTTTCTGGGGGCGGGTCTCCTTTAAGGCTTTCGAGTAAGACCGACGGTGACTGGCGCTCTTTCCGGGAACGAAGCCGCCGCCGCTGAACCATTATAAACTTGGACCGTGAAAGTAAACAGCCGCGCCAAAATTAGAAACAGGAACTGGCAGACGCCGCGCTCGTCGTAAACTTAACCCTTAAAAAAATGACAAAACGAAAATTCCGACCCCCGGGGGCCGTCTGGGGTCACCCTGTAACCGTGAACGGGCGGCCGGATTTGATCTGTTGATTTGGAATTAGTTGGATGAAAGAGAAGCCTTAGGGGCACTCGGATCATCTCACGGACCCCAAAATTAAAGTGTATCGAAACCCCAACAACAAGAACGTAACATTGTATCAGATGTGGCGGCTTCATTCGCTTTCTCTTTATATGGACCTGGTTATCGCACTTCCTGTCCGAGGGTGACAACGCTCAGTGTACTGCAACTCTAAAGGGATCCCTGGAACAAATAAGGCAAACATGGAAGCCACCATAGATGACCTCCAATGGTTGCCTGGTTGACCCTCCTATAGCAATAATCTGAGTCACTGACCTGGAGCAATAAGGGGAACCTGGATGCCACCATAGATGACCTCCAATTGGTTGCCTGCTTGACCCTCCTGTTTCAATAATCTGAGTCAATGACCTGAAACAAATACGGGAAACATGGATGCCACCACAGATGACCTCCAATGGTTGCCTGGTTGACCCTCCTATAGCAATAATCTGAGTCACTGACCTGGAGCAATAAAGGGAACCTGGATGCCACCATAGATGACCTCCAATGGTTGCCTGCTTGACCCTCCTGTTTCAATAATCTGAGTCAATGACCTAAAACAAATACGGGAAACATGGAAGCCACCTTGGATGACCTCCAATGGTTGCCTGCTTGACCCTCCTGTTTCAATAATCGGAGTCAATGACCTGAAACAAATACAGGAAACATGGAAGCCACCATAGATGACCTCCAATGGTTGCCTGGTTGACCCTCCTGTTTCAATAATCTGAGTCAATGACCTAAAACAAATACGGGAAACATGGAAGCCACCTTGGATGACCTCCAATGGTTGCCTGCTTGACCCTCCTGTTTCAATAATCGGAGTCAATGACCTGAAACAAATACAGGAAACATGGAAGCCACCATAGATGACCTCCAATGGTGCCTGCTTGACCCTCCTGTTTTAATAATCTGGGTCACTGACTTGGAACAAATATCCATATGAGGCCTTAGGACCGATCAGCCAGGCAACTAGCATTTTTACCAGGTCAACAATGGCATCCGCCCCCCCAGGTTTACTTTAAGACGGGAAAGCCTGCAGGTCTTGGTTTATGACCAGATTCTCATAACAACCCTCAAAAAAACCCCAAACTGTTATGTATTTTTTACACTATTGACATGGCCCGTATACCAGCCCTGGTTTGACCCCGGGATTTGGGTTCCGTTAACAGCAAACCTAGAAAATATCTTGCTCATTCACCATTTTTGTTCCCAAGGTGCCGCATTCTCTGCCGCACCCAACGGCAGACTTCAAGCCCTTTATATGTGTACCAGATCTCTACAAGTTGACCACCATCTAGGTTACTACAAAAAAACAAAACACATTTGCCCCATGCGGACAATGAAACATGTAAACAAAGCCTCAGATTGGGTGGCATAGCTGAAAAGTAAGTGTTCCCCAAATTGTGTGCAGTCACATAGGGAGGAAATTGGTGGTCATAACAAAAACATCGCTACACGGCAACCATAAAATCTACAAGTTCATGAGATTTTCCGACCACTCGAGATCTCTGTATTGAAGATTCTGAACCCGACACCACAGTGTCCGGCGTCAAGCTCCAGAAGGTAAGAAAGGAGGCATCTCCCTTTTTGGTTTTTCAAAGTTGTATTTCCCGTTTTGGTCCAAAAAGTAGGACAAGAGGCATCTCCCTTTTTGGTTTTTCAAAGGCGGTTTTCCCATTTTTGTCCAGAAGGTAGGAAAGAAGGCATCTCCCTTTTTGGTTCTCCAGAGGTGGCTTCTCCTTTTTGGTCCAAAAAGTAGGAAAGGAGGCATCTCCTTTTTGGTTTTTGAAAGGTGGTGTTTCCCGTTTTTGTCCAGAAGGTAGAAAACAAGACAGCTCCCTTTTTAGTTCTCCAGAGGTGGCTTCTCCTTTTTGGTCCAAAAAGTAGGAAAGGAGGCATCTCCTTTTTGGTTTTTGAAAGGTGGTGTTCCCCGTTTTTGTCCAGAAGGTAGGAACCGAGACATCTCCCTTTTTGGTTTTCCAAAGGTGGTATTCCCATTTTTGGTCTTTTTAAGAAGGCCTGTGCAAAAGGAACTAAAAAAACATTACCCCGGTGGTTCCCGATTTACCAGAACCTCCTTGTTCCCCAAAACTGGGCACCTTATTCAGTTAACCAAAATCAAGGATCTGGGCATTCCAGCCAACCTGGAATATGTCCGTCGTGGAATGGGAAACATATTGTCCATCACAATTTGCCCTCGTCGATCAGTTTGTTCATTCCATTGCAGATCTTCTGCAAGTGGGGCCTCATGGACCCCTGGGGGTCGTAGAGCTGGCCGAGCATCTCCCTGTTGGCGAAGTGGTTGAAGACGTGTTGGATGCGCCCGTGGGATTTGGGGGTCAAGTGTTTGTCGACGAGGCGGAGGAGCAAGTTCTTACATCCCATGAGGATCTCCGGCAACACGTCCTTCTCGTACGTAAAGTCCACCTCGTAGAAGCTGATGGCCGTCATGGCCCCGTTGTGCAGCTTGTTCTTGAAGTCCTCGGCCAGCATCAGTTCCTCGGGGGTGAAGCGGTTGTGGCGGTACAGGACGCCGATCTTCACGGCGATCTTGATCAGGTTCTTGATGACCTTCTGGGACTCGGCTTTGTTTTTGGTGTGCTCCTTCGAGACGCGGTACAGCTCATCCAGGACCTCGCTGCTGGTCTCGTCGATGAACATGTTGGCCATCGTCTTGCTGGCCATGCGACTCAGGATCTTCTTTTGCGCCTGGAGGGCGAGGTCTTTGGAACTGAACGTCTCCATGGCCTCCTGGGGAAAAGATGGAGATAGAGGTGTGAAATACAACCCTGAGATATAAAAATGCACAACATGCTATTTTTTGTAGACCGAGAGCCTTGGATAGGCAATGAGTCAATATGGTCCGAACCCTACACTTCACCATCCAATATGGCCGAACCCTACACTTCACCATCCAATATGGCCTAACCCTACACTTCACCATATCAATATGGCCAAACCCTACACTTCACCATATCAATATGGCCAAACCCTACACTTCACCATATCAATATGGCCAAACCCTACACTTCACCATCCAATATGGCCGAGCCCTACACTTCACCATCCAATATGGCCTAACCCTACACTTCACCATATCAATATGGCCAAACCTTACCCTTCACCATCCAATATGGCCGAACCCTACACTTCACCATCCAATATGGCCGAACCCTACACTTCACCTCTTTTGATGAATACTAGGGATGCACCGATACTAGTATCGGTACTGGTGCCGCTGCCGAGTATTTGGGCGAATACTCACCCAAATGCTCCGATGCCTAGCCCGATACTTCAGGTATCAGGAAGCTGGGCAGCGTGTAATGACTCGCTGCCTGGTTTACTGATTGGCCAGATTCCCGACCAATTGGGAAGCCGGGCGCCGTGTAATGACGTGGTGCCCGGCTTTCTGATTGACCGAGAATCCGGTTCCATGCTCCCTCATCATGAAGTGACGAGGGAGAATCAGGAAGCCGGGCAGTGTGTAATGATTCGCTGCCCGGCTTCCTGATTGGCCAGCTTCCCGACCAATCAGGAAGCCAGGCGCAGTGTAATAACGCAGCACCTGGCTTTCTGATTGTCCCGGAAGCCAGCTTCATGCACCCTCAACAACCCCATGACGAAGGAGCATGTAACCGGCTTCCTGGCCAATCAGGAAGCCGGATGCGGCGTCATTACACGGCGCCAGGCTTCCTAATTGGCCAGAAAGCCGGCTCCATGCTTTCTCATCACCTAGTGACAAGGATCATGGGGATAGCTTCCAGCTAATCAGGAAGCCGGGAGCCCTTAATGGGACTTCCGGTTAATACACATTGATACAATTATTTGTTGCATTATATCTAAAGCCACGCCCCTCTTAGACGATTGTCCCTACAAATGTTCTTGTGGTCGCTTTCCCTTAAAATCTGGCTGGAGACGGATGAATTCTGATTGGCTCGCAGCATTATGTAGCATTCAGCGGTTATGGGACTGTAGGGGTTAAGCGGACGCTTCGTACGGCTTATCCGTCTCATGTTATCTGTTTTGGCCCAAGGCTGGGGCCCTCCCAAGCAGAGCAGACCCTCCCGGAGGGCCGGGGTGGGGGGCGGGGGGAGAGGGATTCTGGATTGCAACCTCCGAGACGGTCAAACCAGTTTTGTGGAAATCTGATCTGCGCACCTGGAGGACACAATGGGAGGAATTTTTTTGTTTGTTCTTTCTTCTCCCCCTCCTGTGCTGTGTCGTGTCAGACATAAAAATCGGAGTTTGTTTGAACAGGAAGCCTTTCCAGCATCCTGCGTGTCACATACAACGCGTCCTATCTGGGTGACGCTTCTCTAGAGATGACCGTTTGGAGGGCGGGGGGGCGTAAAGTCTTGGAGGCGGCTGGCTTAGAGTTAAAGCAGGACTCCGGCCCCCGAAAAGAACAAGACCAACAGGAATAGCCCATTACGATAGAACAAAACCAAAACATTCACCGCCAAGTCAGAGATTTCACCTGCAGTACCTCTGATCTGCCACTAGATGTCCAGGTCATCCCGGACGAGCCCCCAACCTGTGACTGGACAGTGAAAGGAGAAGCAGCGCAGCTCATCTCTCTGCTCTCAAAGTTCTTGTTTTTTTGGGTACATTTTAACACAAATAATGGTATCAACGTGTTCATGTTCAAAAGAAGAGCAATGTATCGTTTGTGGTTTTGAAAATTAATGTACCGGGTTCGGCCATATTGGCTCTTCTTACTCTTTAGTTGAGTGGCACGGGGGGGGGTTCTCTTATTGTCATCAGCACAAAGTTGCCGAGCTCTGTCCATAGACATTCAGTGAACACGGTACTGCTCCTTTGTTGTACACTGACCCAATTTCCTCTGTTTCCTTCTGTGGGTGGCCCTGGGGGCACCACCTGGCTGGACAAAAGTTGATTTTCCGATAGACTGCAGCCAATCAGCTGTAAAGTGATGTAATGTAATACCACATCGTGTTCTATAGGTGGGGCTGAGGAGTATTAAAATTATATGCTCCTCAGCTCCATCTAGTGGCCATACTATGGTAATACATTAGGTTACATTCGACTGGAAAAGGAACATTCGTTTTTGCGTCTATTCGCACAGAGTGAACGTTCGCCGGGGTGAACGGCTCTTGCATTACAGTTGGTCTGAAGGAGATTGTCCAATCAGATTGTAACATGTGTGGGGATCCTTCACCTAGACATGAGATCTGAGATTCTTACACCCCGGTATGTTCGCTGATAGGTCGGCGCGCTCGCTTGCATTATAATAAACTCGTTAAAATAAAGCGAAGATACAAAGTAACCCGAGAACATTCTACAAGGACATCTCGTGTATTGTTACGCAAGATAAAAAAAAAAAAAAGAGAAAAGCAGAAGTGCCCGCACCCCCTCCTTGACAGCCCCTCTCTTCCCATCCCAGTGACAGCCCCACTTCCCGTCCCAGTGACAGCCCCACTTCCAGTCCCAGTAACAACCCCTCTCTTCCTGTCCCACTGACAGCTCCACTCTTCCCGTCCCACTGACAGCCCCCCTCTCTACCTGTCCCACTTCCCTTCCCACTGACAGCCCGTCTCTTCCCGTCCCACTGACAGCCCCCCTCTCTACCTGTCCCACTTCCCTTCCCACTGACAGCCCGTCTCTTCCCGTCGCAGTGACAGCCCCACTTACTGTCAAAACTCAAAATTTTGGATCTCATCAATTGCGGTCCTGGAGACAACAGAGAACAATAAAAACCTGACCGGGGGGCTAAACTTTCCCCCATTTTATCCAAAAATATATAAAAATTTGGCTGGAGTTTTTATTTAAATGTAAAAGCCGCGATGGAAGCTCTCCTTTCCCAGAATCCCCTGCCAGGGTGGTCACATGACCATCCTGCAGAAGGATAACGCCTCTGAATCATTTCAGTTGCCAATTCCACCTAACCCCCCCTCCCCCCCATAATCCCCTGTGGCTGGAAACGCGCTGTTGGGGTTACGTTACATTGCATAAGACAGAAGGGGGGGGGGGGCAACTTTGGCACTCCAGCCGTGCTGAAACTACAACTCCCATCATCTCTCTGCCTCTGGGGAGTCATCGCTGTGGCTGCCAGAGCCTTGCAATGCATCGTGGGACTTGTAGTTCTACAACAGCTGGAGTGCCGAAGTTGCCGACACCTTGTATGGCTACAACACACACCGAGAGCACACACATGTAGCACTCTGGGGGTGTGTTGTATACATCTGCGTGATCTAGGTGTGTGTGTTGCATGTGTGCGCTCACTCACTCACGGCTCAGTGTGTCATTGTTCTGGCCTCAAGTGTCAGTATGTCATTGTTCAGTGTTCTGGGTCTGTGTTGGAATCTGTTGACAAGCAGTGATCAGTTCTGTGCTGTGAGGTGTCAGGAAGGAGAAGTGGTTGTTGCATCATCAGCGCTCCACTTCCTGTCCATCTTCTCCCTCAGTGATGAGTGACGGGCTCCTGTGACCCAGAATTCCCCCTCCCCCACCCCCACATCTAACAACCTCAGGATACATTTGTACAATGAATTGCAGCACCCTCCCCCTCTGGGAGATCAGACCCGCTATGAATGCAGGAGCAGAGCAGGGAATGCTGCTTGGCATGTTGGGCCTTGCACCAATCACCTTACTTACCACGCCCACCGTAAGGCTGATTTCTGACTCTGCAAAGATCAATTTGAGGTAAAGAGAGCAAGGGAATCGGAAAAAAAAGAGGTCACCCCAGGCACTTATCTCTGGTGATCCTGCCATGGAGGTCCTGTTATAGGGTGACAACGCTCTGTCCCTGTCCCCCAATTGTGCTCCTGGGTTGTCACCCTGTCACACGATGGAGACTGCACAGCCATGGTCCATTATTGTCACCATAAGGAAATTCGGGTCCTGAGAAATGCCATGGCAGCCATTGCCGGAGTGCACACAGACAGGAAGTGGCATGGCAGCCATTGCTGGAGTGCACGCAGACAGGAAGTGGCAAAGCAGCCATTGCTGGAGTGCACGCAGACAGGAAGTGGCATGGCAGCCATTGCCGGAGTGCACGCAGACAGGAAGTGGAATGGCAACCATTGCCGGAGTGCACGCAGACAGGGAGTGGAATGGCAACCATTGCTGGAGCTCATGCCGACAGGAAGTGGCATGGCAACCATTGCTGGAGCTCATGCCGACAGGAAGTGGCATGGCAACCATTGCTGGAGCTCATGCAGACAGGAAGTGGCATGGCAGCCATTGCTGGAGCTCATGCCGACAGGAAGTGGCATGGCAACCATTGCTTGCGCTCCACTTCCTGTCCATCTTCTCCCTCAGTGATGAGTGACGGGCTCCTGTGACCCAGAATTCCCCCTCCCCCACCCCCACATCTAACAACCTCAGGATACATTTGTACAATGAATTGCAGCACCCTCCCCCTCTGGGAGATCAGACCCGCTATGAATGCAGGAGCAGAGCAGGGAATGCTGCTTGGCATGTTGGGCCTTGCACCAATCACCTTACTTACCACGCCCACCGTAAGGCTGATTTCTGACTCTGCAAAGATCAATTTGAGGTAAAGAGAGCAAGGGAATCGGAAAAAAAAGAGGTCACCCCAGGCACTTATCTCTGGTGATCCTGCCATGGAGGTCCTGTTATAGGGTGACAACGCTCTGTCCCTGTCCCCCAATTGTGCTCCTGGGTTGTCACCCTGTCACACGATGGAGACTGCACAGCCATGGTCCATTGCTGGAGTGCACGCAGACAGGAAGTGGCATGGCAGCCATTGCCAGAGTGCACGCAGACAG